CCCCCGCCGCAGCCGCAGCCGCAGCAGCAGCAGCAGCAGCAGCAGGCCTAGTTGATGCAGGCCATGTCGGAGACGTTGGTTCTGCTGCAGGTCTTGCGCATCATGGAGACAGTGTGCTCGGTGACCAGCGCCAGCGAAGGCACTTTCCGCATAAGTCCGCAAAACTCTTCGAAGTTTATTTTTCCGTCTCCGTCCGCGTCTGCTTCGTGCAGCTCTGCTGCTGCGTCCGTCTCCAGGTCCCCCGCCATGTGAAACACCTGGCGCAGCTCCTCCGCGCTGCAGCAGCAGCAGCAGCAGCAGCGGCAGCAGCAGCAGCAGCAGTGCGTGCACGTTGTTTGTGCAGAATAACTTGATTGTCGAAACGCACTCCCAAAGTAAAACGACGCAAGTAACAAATTAACTCTTTAAATTCAACAAATAAATCCAAATTGAAAATAACCTCGAACGACTTCAAACAAACGAAAATAACTCCAGATACGTGAAAATAACTCCAAATAAGTGAAAATAACTCCAAATAAGTTCAAACAAACGAAAGTGACCCCAATTAACTCCAAATAACTCCAGACAAACGAAAGCAACTCCAAAAAACTCTAAAAAGCTGCAAAAAGCTGCAAAAAGCTGCAATTGACTCCAAAAAAGCTGCAGTAAACTCCAGTTGCCCGTGAAGGCGGTGCGGACCTGACTTGTCCGTCCCCGTTGATGTCGAGGACGCGGAAGGCGGCCCTGCAGGCCTCCTCGCGGATGTAGTGGGACTGGTGGAGACAGGCCGCAATGAACTCGGTGTAGTCAATGGTGCCCGTTGCTGCAGTGTCGACGCCGCGCAGCACCTCCTGCAGCACCAAGTCCGGCGGCAGCAGCACGCCGCCGCGCCGCAAACCCTCGCGGACTTCGTCGAGAGACAACACCCCGTCTCCGCGGGAGTCCAGCTGCGTGAAGACTTTCTTCAGCCCCTCGATCTCGGAGTCGTCCAGGTGCTGCGCGATCACCGTCAGCGCCAGCTTCTTCAGCCGGCTCAGGCTCTGGAAGCGCCGGAACTTGCTCAGAATGTCGATTCCTGCGCCCACGCCCCACGCACCCTCCTGCTCCTGCTGCTCTGCTGCAGCAAGAGC